CACATGAAGAAATGCTCAAAATCCCTAGCCCTAAGAGAGATGCAAATTAAAACAACTATGAGATATCATCTCACCCCGGTCAAAATAGCAAAATTTCACATTAACATTTTTTATAACAGAATATGAACACCAGTACATTTCTTTCATCTTACATGTTTCAACTTAAATGTTGTAAAACAGCAATTACCTGAGAGGAATTTTATTATAATGTAATAATAAACCCAGTCTTATAAAATCCGAAGCATATTCTTGAGCAGGATCAATAAACAGAACCTGTAAGAAAACAATACAGAATCATGATTTTGGTTGGTCACTTTGAACCGTGTACCTTCACAGGTCCTTACATCCCTGGTTGCTGTGTACCGTCAAGTTGGAACCGACCTATAGCTGACCTTACAGTGGATTTTCAGAGGCAGTAAATGGCACAGGAGGAGAATACCCATCCTTCTCCCACAAAGCAACTGGTGGATTCTAACAACATACTGTTGGGATTACAAGGCAGTCAAGACCATGAAAGTAAGTAGTATGTAACCCTAACGCTGTGCCAGTGTGCTGTGTTTAAAAGGCACTTGGAGTGCTGCGTGGAGGTAAAGATGAAGAAGCTTTCTCTTGCATACTTTGGCCATGTTGCTAGGAGAAGATATTCATCATACTTGGAAAGGTGGAGGGATGGCAAAGGAGAACAAAAGTCTCCGCCAGGTGGACTGACAGTGACTGCAGCAATGGGCTTGTGTGTGTCAGAGATTGAGGGTGGCACAGGACGCTTCAGACTCTTGTTCATAGGGTTGCTTTGAGTCATATTTGACTCGATGGCACCTAACAACAGCAACAACTCAGAGGTAGAAAGGTAGAATATATCAAGAGCCAAGAGAACAGGGCTTAATTTGGACCTGAACCCTGTGATGGAAGCGTCCAATACAGGAGACAGAGAACAGTAACACTACAGTGAGAGATGGTGAGAAGCAGCGACAGCAAAATGTGGAGAAAATCAGGAGACAGAGAGAGGACCTTCCCCACCCACAGAGCAAGAAAGCCTGTGCTACGGAGCAGGAGGCTTCCTGGAGCACCTTCGAATCAATGCGAGTTAAGAGAGTGCCGTGCTTTAGGACACTCCAGTTGGCTGAGCTAATTTTAGAGCTTTGTAACACTTGCCTACATAGGGCAGAGGCCACGCTGCAAGGCCAAATGGCCAGACAGGTCTGTTTTTGAGAACTGCTAAGCAAGGCTCTCTTGATCAAAGAACTGTATCCTGAGTCACTAACCTAGTACTTCCCTAGTAATCCCTGGAACTGTGAATACAGCTGGTCCACAAACACTGTGCAGTCACTGAATCAAGTTATCAGAGCTGAGAAGCAGAGTGTCAGGGGAGGCACGGCAGGTGCCCAAACTGGTAAATCAGAGTTAGAGGAGGGGCTTGTCTAAATCCTACCTCAGAGTCAGCTCTGAGCAGCTGATAATGATGGTGATTCATGCTGCCCTTTGTAAAGTCAGAGGAGAATGGACGCTGAGTTTACCATGTCATTTTCTGCAGACACTACTACAATAAACAATTTACATGCATAAATGATGTAGTGATATTTATGTATTTTTATCTCAAATGTATTAAAACTTTTGTCATGAGTTCCGTGCAAGAGCTATCAACAACTCCTTCGAGAAAATAAGTAAGCAATCAACTTAATATTGATACTGATATGAAGGCTGAATAAGAAAACAGAGATGTGACGTGACATTACTAGCTTTTAGCACCAAGTCAGTCACTGCACTTCAAACTTGCTACATGGGGCAAATACTTCATTCCTTTACACAAAGAGGTTTAATTATCAAGAGCAAGGTAAACAAAACATTACTAATATATTTATTATATACACACTTTGTGTTGTTAAGTGCCGTCGAGTCAGAGGCGACTCAGCGACCCTATGAATATATTTATCATATACACATACACTTGAAAAAAATAGAAAACTTACCAAATTATGAAAATTCCGCCTTATAAAAGGTATGTTTCCAGAGAATGTTGCCCTCAGAAGTTCCTGGCAACTTGTAGGCCACGTGATATACACATCATCATTCTCCAGGTCATTAATCCACTAGGAAAAAAACCCAGAAATCTATCAAAGTTGTAGTAATATAGTCAAGGTCAGATTTTCACTATATCAAATTATAAGTGAAAATACAGACAATATTTTCTATATTTCTAATTAAATTTTGGAAATGGAATAATCTTTAAAGTTACATTATGTGGAATCATTTTATACTACCAGGTCTGTTACACAAAGTCTTCATGTAAGCCATAACTGACAGTTTAAAAACAACGGCATGAGAACTTACCTTGATAGAGGAATGTCGAATGTCTAGTGCATAAGTGTATTCCCATAGTTGTGAATTCAGCTTTAAAAATTTGCTTATATCGTCTCCATTAATCCCAAGGTTCTGTAGGCCATTCATCAGCTTTCCTTCTAATTTCAGCATATCCAACATGCTTTATGTTTCAAGAAAGGAAATACATTTTATTTTTACTTGTAAAAAATTCCCTTAAAATTCACAAAAGTTTGTTAGACTTTTGAAAAACACTGGCAAGACATATTATTAAACTCATTAACACACAGCCAAATAGCCCTTCTAACTCACCGTGTAGAGCAAATTCAATTTGAAGTTTACTTAAGTTATATTATTATTTAAGAGTTAAGACAACACAGTGTAAAGGAGTATCTTTTACCAAAGCAGCAAGGTTGCAATTCTCATAAGTAAAAAACGGGGGCTAAAGATTACAAGGTCACTCTATTTATCATTTACTGTGGAATTAAGATCAAGTACATTTTAAATCATAAAATTTTATTATGAAATGAAGATTCATTAAAACATAAAAGTTTGCATCTTTATAAAACACAAATTTGAGATTACTGCTGATGGTGCAGTAAGCACAGTAGCAGTGCAGACCCTTTAGAATGAAGACACCAGAAAACCAAGACAGCAGACGGGGATAATAATCCCGGAATTCTGAGTGTCACAGGAAACAAGAAAAAAGTCCTTCAGAAGCCAAGGAGACAGATGCATTAGGACCCTTCTTGGTGAGCTTTCTGGTTGGTGTGAGAATGCGGGATAGCAATAGTGTCTACGCTGTTGCGTGGCTGACAACAAGAAAGGTACGGCATTCATTCTGGTCTTTTCTTTCTCCTCTGTCTTCGTAAGGACCCTTTGCTCTCGTCATGAATGATATGCTTGATGTCATCCCACAACTCCTCTAGTCTTTGATCACTGGTGTTGAATGTCTCGAACTATTCTTGAGATGATTTTTAAATTCAGGTGGGAGAGATACAAGGTTATACTCTGGGTTCTGTGGACTTGTTTTAATTTTCTCACCTTCAATTTTAATCTGCACACGAGTAACCGATGGCCTGTTCCATAGAAGCACCTGGCCTGGTTTTAACTGTTGATACAGGGCTTCTCCAACAATTCTTTCCACAGATGCAGTTAATCTGATTTCAGTGCTACCCATCAAATAAATTCCATGTGTATAGTAACCATCTGTGCTTCTTAAAAAAGTTATTTGCAATGAATAAATCACCGAATGCCCAAAATCCAATCATCTGATCTCTGGCCACATTTCTGTCACTGCCTCAAGAGCATAAAATGGGACATGGGGGCAGAGACCATTGAGCATCTCTGTGAAAGGGTCAGAGGGAGTAAGAACAGCACAGCCCCTCACTGCCCAGAGCAGAAAGATACAGAGCCCATAGCTCAGCCCCTTGGTGCCTCCAGAGCCACAAGAGGGTCAGTCATTTGTTGTTGACTCAACAGACTTTACGCACGACTGTGGTACCAAGCACAAGGTATATTAGGGAAGTAAGCTGGAGAGTGAGGGAGGCAAAGAGTATCACCCCATTCAAATCCAGGTTTTAGCCCAGCAGTCTCAAAGCACAATTCAGCAGTCAGCTTTCCCTTCCATCATCAAAGGCAAGAACAGCAAAACCTTTAACTGCAGCCTTTATCTCAGGGTTACAGCGTACTAACTCAGGGTGATCTCTGGTTACACCTAGTCACAGTTTTCTCCACAACATTGCCACAGTCTCTCTACCACCATCACCAGGGTCTCCCCCTCAAAAGGGTCTTACTGCAGTCTCTCAAGTCTTGTTGCTCAGTGTGAGAGGCAATCGCTTCTTCTAGTCCCACAGCTGTTGGTGATTTGCAAGACCATGTGTCTGTAGTTAAGGTGGCTGAAGACCAGAGGAGGCTAAGGTAATGGCTTAAAAAGGCCAACCTAAGGCTAACATTACAGTCACCAACCCTGTAATTTCTGAATATGGAGCCACCTACAGCAGATGTTGGGCCCCAGTCAGAAGGCCTCCAGGGACCACCTGGGGCTCCATCCTACCGCACCTGCTATGGGCCTCAGTTCACAGTACCGGCAGTCAGGAAAAATAAAGATGCCTTGCACTGGGCAAGTTGGCTGACAAAGACCTCTTTAAGGTGTTAGAAAGCTAAGATGTCAGTTGAAAAACCAGTTACATGGCCTGGCCTGAGCCATGGCTTTGTAACTGCTTCACATGCAAATGAAAGCTAAACAATGGATAAAGATGACTGAAGAAAAATTGATGCCTCTGAATTGTGATGTTAGCGAAGAGTATCAAATATACCAAGAACTATCAAAAGACGAAACAAATCTGTCTTGGAAGAAGTATAGACAGGCAATATCTTAGAACTAAGAACGGTGAGATTTTTGTCTCACGTATTTTGAGTATGTAATCTCATGCGACTTGATGGCACTTAACAACAACAACAATCTCAATTACTCGCTATGCATCAGAGAACTGGACAATGACTAAGATGTTGTGTACCATCAAGTCAGAACCAATCCATAACTGACTGTCCAGCAGGTTTTCAGAGGCAGTTAATTGCACAGGAGATTGCCAATTCTTCTCCTGCAGAGCAGCTAGGAGATTTGAACCGTGTGCTTTCAGGACTGCAGCACAGCTTCTTGTCACTAGGCCACCAGAGCGCCCCACTAAGATGACAGAAGAAGAATCAATATCTTTGAGTTGAAGTGATGGAGAAGAGAACTAACATGGACTGCTAAGAGAACAAACAGGTCTGTCTTGAAGAGGGTGAAACCAAGTTTCTCTTTGAAGGTAAGGGGTTTAAAATTCCACTTTACATTCTTAGGGCATGTGGCCAGGAGGGACCAGTCGACAAGTCCTTGAAGGTGAGCTTCATGCTCGGAAAGGTGGAAGGACAGTGCAGGAAAGGAAGACCCTGGATAAGCTGGATTGACGCAGTAATTGGGGTAATGGAGGTAGATGTGTCAGTGAGACTGCCTCAGCCCAGGGCACGCTTCAGAGTTGTTGTAGACAGCGTTGCTATGAGTCTTAGTCGAATCATTGGCATATAACATAACAAGTAATAATAACCAGGAGTGGGCAGTCCTTTGAAAAAAGAGAACATGCTTAGAAAAGTAGATGGTCAACAAAGGAGAAGACCCTTCATAAGGAGGACAGACATAGCGACAGCAGCAATTAAAGACAGCATACACTGTGAGGCTGGCAAGGAGCAGTCAATTGCATCAGTTGTACACAGGGCTGCCACCAGTGAAAAACAACTCAATGATCCCTAACAAAACATGAGCATCAATTTCAGTTCAATGAAATCTACTCAGATGAATTATAACAGAATGCTGTTGTTGTTATGTGCCGTCGAGTCGCTTGCGACTCATAGCGACCCTATGTACAACAGCCCTAAACTCTGCTCTGTCCTGTGCCAATCGCACTGTCTCTGACACTCCCAACCCGATTATCCCAGTCACTGAATCAATCCACCTCACAGAGGGCCTTCCTCTCCTGCGCTGTCCCTCCACCCTCCCAAGCATGATGTCCTTCTCCAAGGACCGGTCTCTCCTCACAACATGTCCAAAGTATGTTAGATGGAGCCTCAGAATCCTTGCCTCCAAGGAGCCACCCAGTTTAACCCTTTCCAGGACAAATCTGTTTGTTTTCCTAGCAGTCCATGGTATTCTCAATACTATTCTCCAGCACCACAGCTCAAAGGCATCAATTCTCCTTCTATCCTCCTTAGTTACTGTCCAACTCTCTGATGCATAACAAGTGATTGCAAAGACCATGGCCTGTATCAGATGCACCTTAGTCTCCAGAGAGACACCATTGCTCTTCAGTCTTTTGAGAGGTCCCTAACAGCAGACTTTCCCATGGCAATGCGCCTTTTAATTTCCTGGCTACTGGTGCCAAGAGTGTTGACTGTGGAGCCAAGCAAGCTAAAGCTGTGAACAATCTCAATCTCTTCACCATCCATCCTGATGCTGCCAATTGGTCCAGTGGTGAGAATCTTTGTCACTAGGTTTACAAATTATTCTTTTCGTTCCAAATAGTAATTTCTAGTGTACATTCTCTTTAAAACTAAAATTCATTTATTACTACTTTTTTTTTAGCTCTTGCCTTCGATATATTGTTCAATGGTAATGGATAAATAAAAGAGTTCCTATTTATACTCTACAGCCCTTTTCCTGATGATTTTTTTAAAATATAAGGAACTATACAGTATCCAGATTTCATGTTCACATTAAACACTTTATACTCATATTTTGATAAAAGTATTTTATGTTGTCCCCTGAATTTTGTTCTTCTGGGCAGATATTTTGTTTCTAGAGAGCAGGGCTCTCTGTGTGATCAGCCACTGAATTTCCCTAATGCATCTTAAACCCAATTCTCAGTGAAAGACAACCTGGAATAAGGACATATATGTAGGTATAAGATTCAGAAACCAAAACACCCAAAAAACCTGCAAAGTCTCTTTCAATTCTGACATTCTATTAAACGTCAAAGCTCGTTATATACTAAAATAGCACAAAAAGAAACATGCTTCTTGCTTTAATTTCAGAATGATTGTCATCAAATATCGAACTTATTTGCGTTAATAATTTAACACTTACCTAAAAGGATCAGATCCCTCAATGTCGATATGAATTCCATTTATATACAGACGAGTGTCACCTGGCCTTATATCAAATCGATCTTGAAGATGCTTGAAATAAAGCAGAGTAATAGTTAACTGCCTGACATGGAGACCCATATCAAACTCTTTCCAGAAATTTGTTGGTTGTTTGCTGTCGAGTTGAAACTGACTCCTGGCTGATCCTGCAGTGTGTTTTCAGAGGCAGTAAATCACACTGCAAGAGACTGCCCATTCTTCTCCCATGGAGCAGCTGATGGACTCAAATCTCATGCCTATGGGACTGCAGCACAGCTTCTTACCACTGGAACACCAGAGCTCCCTACTTGTATAGTCAGATAGTAAGTACCTTAGCTTCCCCAATCATACAATATCTCCAATGACTACTCAAATTCTGCTTTTGTAGCATGAAAGCAGCTACGGACAATATGTGAAAAAAATAGTCATGGTTATACTCCGGAGTATTAATTTGCAGAAACAGAAGGCATACTAGATTTGACCTGTGGGTGTTGCTTTGTCCAACTCTGACCGAAGTGATGAGATTTCAGAGGCAGAACTGAAAAACACTTGAGTATTTGTTTATCATGTGATAGTTAAAATTCTAACGCTACAGTGACGACTACAATATTTTGTCTCTCTGAAGGAACTAAAAAAAGATAATATAATAAATATTTATGAAAGGAAATCAAACAAACCTTCTGATTTTCCTGTATTTCCTCCCTCATTTGTTTATTTACAGCAATTCTGGACAGTGATCTGAAAAAAATAAATATTAATATAACTCCATGTTCCTTGGGTGGTTTGAATTAATCTGTATTTTAAGAATTTGGTGAATACGTACAAAGTACCAATGGCTCAAGCCTGAAAGATTGTTACCGTATAGCCTAATTTGATAAGCAGTACTATGGCTATCATTTGATAAGGATTCAGGAGAAATGGAGACTGCCAAAGTACCTATGTAATTAACTCTATGTATTATGCATTTTCCTGCTTACCAGGATGTTTAATTTTTTTTTTATTTAATTATTTGTGTGTGTGTGTGTGTGCCATCAAATCAGATCTGACTGGTACAGGAGGAGATTGTCCCTCCTTCCCCGCCAGAGCATCTGGTGGATTTGAACCGTGTGCCTCTGGGATTGTAGTTGCAGCTCCTTGCCACTAGGCCACCAGAGCTCCCCTAGAATATTTCATTTTTAAGAGTTTTTATTTACCATAATATTTCTTTTTTTAAACAATTCCTGACTGGAAATATAATTCTACCTTGATTTACACACAGAGAGCAATTTCTTAAGAAATTACCCAAGTCATGTGTGATCATGCAAATAGACAATTTTTAGGATAGCTGTGCATAAAGAGTTGTGGATAATCTGAAATCTTTAATCTTGAAATTCTATAATACTAGCAATACTTTTCATCGTTGAAATCTTAGTAGGAAAAATTATTCATTTAGCAAATATTCCCTTTCAATTCACTGACTAGACGTCTAGGGATAATCTGAGAAATTCACTCAAACCTACAATTTCTGCCATAAAATAATGCCAGCACATTTTTCCTAATGATCAACCATGTGGCTTTAGAACTACTCACCAGCTGTAATGACTTAACCTCAACAGAATTACTGAGACGAATCTGCTTTGTCTTAAAGCAACTGTAGGTTTAATTGTAAAAGCTACTGTCAATTAGCAGCAAAGTTGCTAAATAAATACATACATCTTTCTAGACTTTACACATACTGATCCCACTGACAGTTAAATCAAGAGAGTCATTCTTAATCTATTATTAAAGAATCAAACTCTTCTATTTTCAGGATAACATTAAAAGTGTCTAGGCATTTTTTTTAGCCTGTACTATCTGTTTAGGAGTAATAATAACCTGTATTTATTATTTGGTAATTGGTAATGCAGATGCATATACAAAACACTGCTTGAGACAAAGATATAGGAATTTAAAGCTGCTTAAGAAGGTCATGTTGAAAGCACAAGGTTGCTTTTCAAATCCCAATAAGACATCATGACTATATGTGAAATTAGGAATTATTACAGTCGGTACAAACACAGCTAACATAGTTTATTTGCTGCTTATAGTTCTATGTCTTTAGCAACCAGAATAAAAATTCAAAGGCGAGTTATTTTGTAATTCCACATATGTGGTAACCTGAACTATATGCACTGGTTATTTCTAGAAGTAAACAAGTGTTTGCCTTGGATTGCTGTCTGAATATTTATATTAATTTTTTTAAAAAGAAATATACTTCCTCCTTCATTTCCTGAAATAATTCAAGGGTTTTCATTTCAGTGTGTACCTGCATATGCACACAAGCCAATGTAATGTTCTAACAACAAGAACCACTACTGTATATAATGAAAAAACACAATAGTATTAGAAAAGCTATATACCTACTCCTCACGTTATCAATCATCTCATTATCTGCAGGGTCCAAACCAGGTATGTACGCACGGTCTATGTGCTCATGGAACTGAAGTTCCTACTGCACAGCATTTGTGGAGGTGGGAAAGAGTGGCCTTCACAAGCTATGAGGGTTCCAGGCAGAGCGGAGAGCGAGGGAAGTGGTGTGGGGCCGGAAAGCAGGCTCTCCTTGTTAAAGCTGGGTACACAAGGGCTGAGGCCAGGACAGCGTACTGACCGTGGACTGTACTCAGGGCCAAGAAGTTGGGACTCTGGGGACCGGCCCTAGGGTGCAGCCCTAAGGGATGGCAGGATAGGTAAGATCACAGGAACCATTAGGAACTCTGAGTTGGGGCCCTTGGGTGCTGGCACCTACAGGACTCCGTATGAACTACAGTCCCTTCCACTACCTTGGTGTTCCTTTTGGGCAGGATAGAGGAGGGTAAGATAAGCTACCAAGGAAGACTGTAGTGTCAGTGGATGACAGCTGCAGGTTAAGGTCAAGGTCAGAGGCCAGGTTCATGCATCACAGACACTGAGAAAGCTCTGGATTACCAATTCTGGTGGCTTAGTGTAAGAAACTGTGCTGCCAACCCGAAGGCACGCAGTCTGCATCTACAGCTGCTCTCCTGGAGAAAGCAGGGCAATCTTCTATGAGACTTACAGCCTCTGAAAACCCGCTGGAGGGTCAGCCATGGGGAAGTTCTAATCTGACAGCACACAACACAACAATGGGACGTGGGAGCTAAGAGGAGAAGGGCCACCCAGAGAGAGGTGAGACACACTCAGACAAGGGGCTGAGGGGGAAATCCAGCAGGCCGCACACGTCTCCTCTCTGCGGCTCCCAGGTACACCTGCCCATTAAAAAGGAGGTCCCTGCTTCCAATAAAGGCACTAAGGACTGTTTGGGGGTCTTTGAGGGAATGAGCTAGGGTCAATCGTCCTGAAAATACAGTGAGAACGGCTGAGGGAAGAGAATAAGGGGCAGAGAAGGGAGACAGCACTTTGCTGTCTGGGTTTCCCAGTTCTGGGTCGCACTTTAGGCAGTGTGAGTTTTCATGAGGAATTGCTTGGGGGCGGGGAGGAGGGCCTAGGAAGTGACCTCAGCTCTGCAGGACACTTACAGTAAAAGGGGGGGGCTGAGGTGATGAGGTCATCTTGTGGCTTCTTGTAACAATAACTTCCACACAATGACCTGGTCTTTGGAATCTACTAGTAATTTTAAGTGAGGAGCAGATATATATATATATATATCTACAATGCACATCATCAAAGTGAAATGAAATCAGTTCATCTCGTAAAATTTATTTAAAGAGCTCTGTCTACAATCAAACCAATGAACTTTATAACATACCTGGCTTTTACAGGGTAGTTCTGTGAAATGTCTTTCATTAATTTTATGGCGTCATAAACTGGAGTGGACATTATTTGAGAAGCTGCTTGAAAACTAAGATCTGGAAAGGAAAAAAAATATCATTAAGGAAACAATCATGATCTTGGTCTTCTACACACATTTCTGTGTCATGTAGGTTAGTTAATGCTGCTTAAAATACGCTGTTGTTGTCAGGTTCCATTGAGTCCAGTACAACTCACAGCAACCCCGTGGACAACAAATCTGAACCCTGTTCTATCCTGTGCCATCCTCACAATCTCTGACATACTCGGGTCCAGTGCTGCAGGTACTGGGTCAATCCATCTGGTTGAGGGTCTTCCCCTCTTTCACCGTCCTTCACCTTCCCAAACATGTCCCTCCCCAAGGAATAGCCTCTCCAGCAACATGTCCAAAGTAGGAGAGACGAAGCTTCGCTATCCACACCATCAAGGATCACTCAGGCTGCACCTTCTCCAAGACAGGCTATTGTTCTTTTGGAAGTCCGTGGGCTATGCACTGGTCTTCTCCAACAATATCACGTCTCACAGATATCAATTTCTGTTTTCCTTTTTTATTGCTAGTTCTCAGATGCCCAGCAGGTGATGGGGAAAACCTTGGCTCGAAGCAGGTGTACCTTCTGGAGAGGTCCCTGACAGACTTTCCCAGTGCTATTCATCTCCTGATCTCTACACTTCCGGGACCACAGGTGTTGATTGTGGATCCAAGGAAGAGGAAACTGTAGCCAATTTCAGTCTTTATCTGTCATGATGTTGCCTGTTGTCCCAGTGAAGACTGTGTTTTCTTGACGTTGAGATGTAATAATGCATATGAAAGCTGTAGTTCTTGATCTTCTGCAGCAAGTGCCTCCAGTCCTCACTTTTACCAAGCAAAGTTATGTCATCTATCGAACGCACACTGTTGATGAGTCTTGGGGTCTTTGAAACCCCCCTGGAGAGTCAGCTAGGAGTGAGTCCACACTTGATGATACATAACAACAAACAACACGGGGTTTGTGAAGAAACGGGGAATAAACTGCTAATGAGTACAGGGTTTCTTTTTGGAGGTATGAAAATTATCTAAAACCTGAGGTGTACGCTGCTGAAAGTCAAGGCCTGCAGTCTCAATATGGACCGCAACTCAACATCAGGAAAACAAAGATACTCACCACTAGGCCAGCTGACAGCAGCACCATGACAGATAGAGGAGATTGAGACTGCTAATCATGTCAGCGTGCTCACTTCCATAAACAACACTCTTGGGACTAGGAGTCAGAAAATCAAAAGATGAACTGCACTGGGTGAATCTGCTGTCAGGGTCCTCTCCAAAGTACTGAGAAACAACAATGTTAGTCTAGAGACTAATGCATGCCTCAACCAGGAGGTCATGGTCTTTGCAATTACTTGTTATGCATCAGAGAGCTGTACAAGGACTAAGGATGACAGAAGAAGAGTTGATGCCTTTAAGTTGTTATATTGGAGAAGAGTACTGAACATACCATGGATTGTCAAGAGAACAAACAGGTCTGTCCTGGAGAAAGTGAAACCAAACTGCTCTTCAGAGGCAAGAATTTTGAAGCTCCATCTCACATACTTTGAGCATGTTGCTAGGAAGGGCGAGTCTTTGGAGAAGGACATCATGCTTGGAAGAGTGGAGGATCAGTGCAGGAGAGAAAGACTCTGATTGAGTCTCTGGACTGAAACAGTAACTGGGGTTCTGAGGACAGATGTGTTGGAGAGACTGGCTCAGGACAGGGCAGGATTCAGAATGAATTTGCAAAGGGTCACTATGAGTCTCAGTTGACTTGACAGCAGGTAACAACAGTAACAATGCTTGCAAATGAGTCTGTGGTGGGCTAGTGGGTAAGTTGTGCTGCCAACTCAAAGGCGGGCGGCAGCCTGAATTTACCAATTGTTCTGATGGAGAAAGACGGGCAATCTCCCTCACAGGTGATTTTTCAGTCTCTGACTTGATGGCAACAATGCAAAACTATCATATGGTATACTTTAAGTTAGTTAATCATTTAATATGTAATTATATCTCAATTAAAAAGATTAAAGATGTGATAAGAATGATGGTTAAGAAAATTGGCATGCCTTCATAACTTACTAAATTCTAACAAAGAATTCTAAAAAAAATTTCCAAATAAGGAAAGATTAATCAAACTAATTTTGGTCAGAGAGTATCTGGTCTTTGTTGTCAATCAAAATGCTTGTACAAGTTTGTAACTGCAAATCCTCCCATTTTAAACACTCATCAGTGAAACATGGACTGGTCTAATTAAGATCAAAAGTTGAGAGAGAAGAATAATGAAGACTTAGTACTGACTTCTCCTTGTTTGAAAGTCAGGATTTTTAATCGATATCACAGACTCTGTGAAATGTGATTTTATACTTGTAAGGAATCTGTAAGTTAGAATTGTGGCTGTGTACCATCAAGCCGGAACCCACCCAGAGCTGACCTTCTGGTGGGTTTTCAGAGGCAGTTAAACATACAGGAGGGGACTGCGTATCCATCTCCCATGGAGCAGCTGGTGGATCCAAACTGTGTGTGTTCAGGATTGCAGCACAGCTTCTTACCACTAAGGCCTAACATACTCTTTTCAGATGACTAAGATATCTGAATCCCTGTGACGCCAGTGTGGCTGAGAGAAATGAGGTCTGAAACACCCAGAATTACTCCAAAGGGAGGGTGTGAAACTCTACTTCTGAGAGCTCAGCCAGTAAAGAAAGACCCTCCTGTGTGCTCTACTATGACACACCAGTGAGTCAGGATAACAATCATGGCAACTGGTTTTAAAGCAAGATATTAAACAGCTGCAGTGCAGAGGACCTAGATTTTACGAATAGAAAAGTATCATCTCCTTCATGAATGACCTTTTAATTACACTTATATATCATGAAAAATTAACACGTTAATTTGTTATTTATATGTTTTAAAAGAAAACCATTTCTGGTACGTTATAATAAACAAGCTTATTTAACAAAACAGTGACTGGTTACCCAACGCGATGAAAGTAGTTTGAGGTACTGTACCTTGTAGCTCCCAGACTTTCAAAGGCATCAATTCTTTGCTACTCTCAATCAAGTATTTTCGGAATGTTGTCAGATTATCTTTAAGATCTGAGTGTATTTCTCTGTACAAGGATATTGAGTAGTGTTAATCATTATCACCTTTTCACAAATTATCACACCAGCAGCATATTTTAAAAATTAGTTCTTTCAAGTAATTAGCAGTAAACTGAGTATTACTAAGCTAAAATGAGCAACATATGGCCTATCTATAGCATCAACAGTCCTTAACAATGAGAGGGCTCTAAATGTATCCTTTTTCCCTTCATATACAAAGCAAAACAAATTCCAGAGGGATGCACTCTCATTGTTCACAAGCTAGCATTACTTACAAGAAAGGCAAGAGCTAGGGCAAATTACTTATTTAGGTTATCTTTTGTTTTATTTTAGCATTTTAGATATTGCAAACATTGTTTTTGTGATTTAAAAGAAAAACTAATAAAAATAATGCTTCTAATCAACTTAAAATTAACTTTTTAAAGTCTCATCTTTTGAGACTAATAACCCTCCAGAAATAAGATAATTTTGTTTAATATTAAACACATTTTAGTAGTTCTAAGAGCCAAGTAATGATGAGGCAGAGTGGTATATTACTGTTCAGAGTCTGAAACACAATCTTCTTTCCTCTATCCCCCATGAAGCTAAAACATGGTGTCATTTCTATTTAAACAAAGTTGAAAACTTTAGTATTCAGCAAATTAGAAAGTACAAATTAACAGTAAACAAAAATGCAGATTTAAAATGTTTTTAAAAAATCTACAGAACATATACAGAAAGCTGTATTACGCTTAGAATGAAAAAGAAACTATATTGATAATTTCTTGCAGTTTTATCATAATGCATGAGTATAGTTTAAAAATGAATCAAGATTAACTAAAAACTAGGCAGAGGCAACTTTCATGGACTGTATACTCATTTATACAGATGACTGAGTTGCATATTTTAAAGTATTCTAGGCAAGCATTAAAAAAACCTTCATCTAATATGATACAGCTTTTTACTTATCAGACCATTATCTACTCATTATTGTGTTTTGTAAATATTCATGTCACGAAATACTAAAATAAAGAGTTGATTTTGTTGCTTAATGTGGTGTTAAACTAAACGCTGGCTTTTCTAAGCCATTACAGTTTAGCCCACCCTGGTCTCCTGTTCCTTTACTGGAAACACACAGTGTTGCAAATCACCATGGTCTTGCACATTACCAACAGGTGAGGGATGAGGAAAAAAGAAAGAGGGTGTTTACACAGGCAGGGGAGCAAGACTTGAGGGAGGCCGGAGCAGACCCTGTTGGTGAGACTCTAGAGATGGTGGTGGAGAGACTGTGGCATTTCTGTGGAGAAACTGTGGCAAGGTATAACCAGAGGAGCCCTGAAATAAAGGCCACAGTTAAAGGCTTTTGCTGTTCTTGTTGGATGCTTAAAGGAGACGCTAACTATAACTGCTCGGAGATAAAGCTAGCTGGATGATTTGGATTTGACTGGTGAACTAAAACCAGAACCTGGACTAAGTGAGGAATTGTGTCTTGGAACTTAGCTAAAATCTGTATGTGTATTGGGTGATTTTCTTTGCTTTCCCCACTTTTCAACTTCCTTCCCTAATAAACCCCATTGCTGGTACTAAAACTGTGAGTTTGTGGGCAACAATGAATAAACAAATCTCTTATTGTTGGTGAGGCTCTAGACTCACTAAGGGGCTGGGCTATGGGCTTTTTATCTGCTTTCTGCTTTGGGGCAGTGAGGGCTGTCCTATCCTCACTCCTTCTGCCCTTTCAGAGAGATATTCACAGCCCTACATCCTCTTTTCTCCTACCTAGACACTTTCTTTTTAAGATTAAGAAATAAAACTAAATTTCGATAATAAATCAGTGCATGGCAAAAGTGAAAATTTCTAAAAATTTATAATACTTTAAAAAGATGAGTGCAAGAAGAAAAATAAGCAAATGTTAGAAATAAGCAATTTACCCAAGAATAAAGTCACAGACCCAACAACATGAAAACAAGTCTAGGTCTGGTCTTAATAAACTGCTAGGTTTTTACTACATGCTGCCACATCGCTCAGTCTGGTAAAATAAATGCAAAATATTTAAACAATCAAATATCATTTCCACCTACTAAATTAACTATTTAAAAATGGTATGAATGGTTAATAAAGTTGTAGAAAATAGACAAACAAACCCAAGGGTTTTAAGAATATGAATTAGTACAATTTCATGGAGAGAAATTTAGAAACATATTCCAAGCCTTTCAAGACTTATATTTGCTTTTAATTAATTTTTCAGAAAACATTACTTAAAAAAAAAGGATCTACGCAAATCCATACCTAAGAATAATTAAGGAAATAATCTTAAATTCCAATCTACAGGATTGTTTCAGTAAAACTAGCACATCATATAATATGAACAAAGTAAACAAGAAATGTGGTTTGGTTGTGCAAGAACACGTGTCACAGATCCATTTACTCTGCTGGTCTAATGGTAAGAAGCTGCGCTGCAATCCCGAAGGCACATAGTTCAAATCCACCGGCTGCTCCATAGCAGAGAGATGGGCAATCTCCTCCCATGTGGCTAACTGTCTCTGCAAACCTGCTGGAGGGTCAGCTGTGGGGGGGGTTCCACCCTGATGGTACACAACAACAACAATACACACAAATGTACAGAAGAACTGAAAAGACAGTAAAAGAGCTGAAAGGTGCCATTGAGTTGGTCCTCTTCAGAGCCCTCTTCTGTCTGTCACGATGAAACACTGCCCTGTGCTGTGTTGTCTCATAATCCTGGGAGCCCAATGTCTCCCCACCTCGGCGAGTGTCTATTGCCTTCTCATGAACTCCTACTTTACACTCAGTTATAATCACCATCTCTCAGTTGTGGAATTACTGGCAATTATAATTTTTTTTTTAGTTGCTACATTCACGTTGCTATGATGTGTGTGTGTGTGTGTGTGTGTGTGTGTGAGATGTTGCTAGGATGCTGAAAGCTGTGTGGCTGGCACTGCAAATACCAGCTTTGGTGGCTTAGTAGCAAAGAACCCCACTGCCACACAAAGTACACAACTCAAATCCATGTTACTCCGTGGGAGAAAGAGAGGTAATCTCCTCCCGGCAAAAACTTGCTGGAGGGTCAGCTATGGATCGGTTCTGAGCTGGACAGTACGCAACAACAATAGCAGGGTCATTCGTGGTGGGCAGGTTTTAGTAGAGATTAAGAGAAAAGGCAGGGCAAGCTACCTGAAAATCAGCCAATGAGAACCTGACGGATCACAGCATAATCCCGTCATGATGCGAGGCTGGGAGGCCCACAAAATACAGGCTGCTTCAACCACAGCCGTGGGCCTGGTACCAGCACTGGAGCCGGCCCAGGACTGGCCACTCTTCACCTGATTACACTGTGGTCAGAGCTGACCAGAAGGCAACTACAAACAACATCATATACAACTCTGTCTGGTTGGCTGCTTTGGGATTTTGTTTGGTTTTTTTCTTTTCTTTTTACTATATATTGCAACAAAGTTTCTCAAGGTTTCTAACATTGATTGTATTCCATTTAAAATTAAAAAATCCTTATATAAAAAGGTGGAACATAAATCAACATAGCCTATTGCATTTCTTTAAAAGCAGAGTTAAAATATAATAATAATAACAACAATAACAATAATTTTATTTGCATTCAGACTCACTTTAACTTCCCAAAGAGAAATCCTTGAATTTCACCTGCTTCAGTCTTATCTTCTACATCAGATGCATTCATAGCTAAATTGTGAAAAACACAAAACAAAAATTATTTTCAGGCTGGAAAAAAGATTGTTGTTGTTCTTGTCATTACCTTTGAGTCGAATACAACTCATAGCGACCCTATGAACAAAAGACTGAAGCCCCTCTACAACTATCGACATTTATCAAAGTTCACAGAGTTTCTGGAAGCATGTTGTTTAGGAAGTGGATGCTACTCCTGCTTCCAAACCTGTCATGGAATGTTATTGGTTGAGTCATCTGTGATGCATAGCAACCCTATGTACAGCAGCTCTGACCCTTTCCCTGTTTTGAGCCGGTCTCACTAATTCTGACACACCAACCCCCATCGCCCTAGTCACTCTATCTATCAATCCATCTCCTCTGGAGTCTCCCTTTCCTGTGCTGTCCGTCCACCCTTCGGAGCATGAAGTCCTTCTCTAAGGATTGATCTCCTTGGTCACATTTCCAAAGTAAGTGAGGCAGAGCTTCAAAATCCTAGCCTCCAAGGAGAGATCTGGTCTTACCCTCTCCAAGACAGACCAGACCTATTTGTTCTCTTGGTAGTTCACGGTGTGTTCAAGACTTTTTTTCCAGCATCACAACTCGAAGGCATCTATTCTTCTTCTGTCATCCTTAGACATTGTTCAACTCTCTGCAGCATAACAACTGAGAAGACCATGGCCTGGATTAGGCGCACCTTTGTATCTAGGCTGACATTATTGCTCTTCAGCACTCTGGAGAGGTCCATGACAACAGATTTTCCCAATGCAATTTGTCTTTTGATTTTCTGACTGCTGGTGTTAAGAGTGTTAAGAGTCAAAGCAAGCAGTAATTAACTGCTAACAACCTCAATCTCTTCTCTATTGGTGCTGCCAATTGGCCCAGTGGTGAGAATCTTCGTCTTCTTGAGACTATGTGATGAATAAGAAGAAGAATTCAAAAGTAATTCATATGTTTCACTTTCTTTCCTGAACTGATTAATTACACACACGTGCACTGCTTGTATTCCTGAGTGCATTTTCTTTTTAATAAGATTTTTAATGATCATTAACTATATAATTATCTTCATTAATATTGTATCATTTTTTCATATTTGAACTTTGTTTTATAATTAGAATTGGTAAGTGCAAATGCCTGGTGAATCCTGAAGAACCTGAACTCTGACACTTATCAGTTTTCTGACACATACGAGTCTTGCACTTTTAAATACCTGTAAACAGGGAATCATACTGGTTCCTATAGAAATAAGTAAACACTTGTGACTTAAAAAAACAATATAGGCGAACTTCCCTGTCCCATCTTGCCTCTCTGCAGCCTGGGACAGCAAACCTCGCTGAGTGCCCTAATAAAAGCTTCTTTGCTTTGAAGAAAAAAAAAAGAAAAAGAAAAAAAAAACGGTATGTAAAAAGTCATTTCCCTTCTATTCTCCTTTACTTACCAAGTAACTGTAAAATATATCACGGTAAATCATACATGGAATGAGTGCTTTGGTTATTACTCAAATTTCTGACATAAGCAGTTGTGCTGCCAACCCTAAGGCAATCAGTTCAAATCACCCAGCTACTCCATGAGAGAAAGACAAGCCATTTCCTCCCAATTTACAGCCTCTGAAAACCTGCTGGAGGGTCAGCTATGTGTCAGTTCCACCTTGATGGCAATGAGCTGTGGACGTAGCATGGAGCAGACCATCAGAGTGGCTCAGGTCACCAAGGACACCTTTCCCTTGCAACTGTTCTAAGGTCAGATCTTTGGGGCTACAGCTAACATCGCTTGGTGCTTCTGATCTAGTCTTCTCTTTCTCTCTTTCCCCTCACTGCACAAGCACATAGTGAGTGCTCACAATGATGCCTGCTGCCTTTCAGTCTAGACACCAGAAAGAGAGACACAAAAAGCCCGGCCTGGACGAAAAACAAGAAAGGTAAGTAAAAGGTATTTTTTAACAGCAGGATGAGCTTTTCTGAAAGTGGTCATAGAGTCAGACAGAATAGAGAAAAGGAACAACCTGCTTCAACTCTTAAATGATGAGGTCCAATGAAAGAGGTTAGAGAGTGAAAAGAGGGATTTCAGGCAGAAGGACCAGATCAATGGATCAAAGTCTCAGAGGTCATAAGGCTTGGCTGGGCATTTAGGTATTTAGGAAAGAGAAAGTTCTAAGTAGTTAGGTGTTTCAAAGCCAGAAGGTACAGATGGAGGAGACTAAGAGGACGGGTGTAAAAAGCTGATGGGGGATACTGTGAAAAGCTTTTTTTATTTCTTTTAGGAGTCTCAATTTATCAGGCAGATAACAGCAACCCACAAAAGGTCAGTCAACTTACAAAGTCTGATTTTCAACGTATGAAGTACATTTTCATCTAAAAGCACTGAAGAGGTGAGACCCCTTATGTTGAGGCACCAAAGATCAGACCAGTAAGGAGGGCAGTCAGAAGCTGAATATACATGGGTAGGGGGTGAGGGTCAGAAGAAAAACTAACAGAGTAACACTAAACTGGAGGTAGAACAATATATTACAAAGATATATGGATGGCTGATTTGGCAGTATTTCGTTCATAATTTGTTAATACAAAGTAGTTTTTATGTGATCACTTAACTTAAAAAAAATTTAGCAGTAAAAAAAAAAAAATTAGCAGTCCAAAAATGAGTAGAAAATATTTTGTTGCAGTCATGATTACTAATTAAGATATCATGCTATAAAACACAGTAACATTATGAGGCAGAAATAAATAAAATCTGAATATAATGATTTTTAACATTTAAATCCAGCTAATACAGATATTATCTGTCTTATATTATGGAGGGAAAGTCAGAGTAAAGCAGAGCCTTCAAGAGCAAGCTCCTTAAGATTCAGAAAGAGTTGAGGCTGAAGAAGCCAAATCTGAGAGCATACTGAAGCATGAGACAGATATTCTTAACCAAGGGTCAATGACTAAATTTCAGGTTAGCCAAGTTTCCTTTAAAATTTGGTTGTGTTTTTTTTTTTGGTTTGTTTTTTACTGAAGACGATCAAAGCCTTTATTCTTCAATAAAGGTTACATCTCAACATCGAGAAAATAAAAATCTTCATCACTGGTCTAATAGACAATCGTGATAGATGGGGAAAAGTTGAAGCTGTTAACATTTTAATTTTATTTGAATCCATAATCAACATCAGTAGTAGAAGGAATCAAGAAGTCAAAAGATCTGTTGCACTGGGAACTAGCTGCTGAAAAGGACCTCTCCAAACTTCTAAAGAGCAAAGGTGTCAGTTTAAAGACTAAGATGTGCCTGAGCCAAGCCATGATCTTTTCAATTGTTTTTTATGCATCTGAGAGTTGGGTAGTACATAAGGTTGACAGAGGAAGAATCAATGCCTTTGAGTTATGGTGTTTGTAGAAATAGTGAATAGACCATGGACAATGCAGTCATGTGACATAGTTTGAGCATGTTTTTAGAAGGGCCCAGTCCTTGGGAAAAAAGATCATATTGAGAAAAGCAGATGGTCAATGAAAGAGAAGATTCCCAGTAAGATAGATTGACACAGTGAGGACAATAGGCTTGAGCATGATAGTGATTGTGACATTAGTGTATGAGAGGCCAAATCTGTTGTTTATAAGTATTTAGTGAGGGGTAGCTGACTCATTGGGAAAAATTCTTTTATTTTATTTAGGTTTCCAGTGTCTATTTCCAGTATGTAGTAGGCCACAAAACTAATCAGATCACAAATACAGCCAATCCAAGTAATTCACAGGATACTCTCACCCTACTTAAAAAAAAAAAATAAAATAAATCATTATCCTGAGTCATTATAAACTGCAGACAAAGTTCCTAAGTCAGTAAGTCACTGACAAGAGATATGGTTCCCAAGACCTCAGAGTGACTGGGTGGTGCCTGGGTCATCCTGGACCTTGGCGAAGTCACCCCTAGACAAGCTACAATTACCTTAGTTTACACGTTTTATGTGTTGCTAAAAAGTGGCTGAGAAGTTATTTGGACCAAGCAAAGTGAAGTATCAACTCTTTTTTTTTTGGAAGAACACACTAATATTAAACACATTTAGTTCCCTTTGAAATGAAATTCCATACCAAGTAGAAACACATTTATTCTCTTTTCATCCTCCAATTAACATAGGCAGGACTCAGGTGCCACTGCATAGTGCCACTGCTGTAGAATGGGACTGACATCAGAGTTAGGGTAAGAATGAGAAAAA